GATTACCAGGCCTAGGCCTGCAATCAAGAGACCTGTGAAGAAGACTCAAGAATGAATGAGAGGACCTCGTTGCTAACAAGCTTGATTTCCTGATTTTTTTCACGTGGGCACTTGAAGCGACAAGGACAGACCTCGGAAAGGGGCTTCTCCAGTTTATCTCTCAATTTCCCTTTTCAAGACCTCGGCGATCAAGGGGTTTGGGATAGGAAGGTAGCCGACGAGCTGGTAGGAGGAGAATAAAATGATTTTGAAACGTTTTTTCAGCAGCTTGACAAAAAATACTTCTTGAGATTAAATACAAACCTTTACGCCCAGGTCTGATCCCTCCCACACATCGGAAGGTACAGTGCGGATGATCTAGCCCTAAGGGTCTATATCGCCTGCGAGTTTTTCAGAGAGGGCCAGCCGACGACTTAGCGCTCAAGTCACTGTAATTTTTACAACTTTCATATGTACTCACTCGGCATCCACCATTGCCCAAAGCCAAGTTTCCGGAAACTGCGATCGTATCTGAATCTCAGCGGGTCGAGCACTATCTGGTGAAGGAGGAGGTGGTGGAGGTGCCGGCATCGGTAAAGGTGGCGGTCCAGGTAGTCCCATGATCAATCCACCACCACCAGCTCCAAACCCAATGAAGTCCCATGGAAACACTGTAGAGCGACATTATACATTGGCGTGAATCTAATCAATGTAACTCAGCATTCAAAGCAAAAGAGATCGCGCTGCCAGCGGTAGTTCAACTGAGTCAAACGAAATGGATCAAAAGGATTCAAAAACTCAGGAAAGGCCACTAATACCTTACGATTCTTCACGGTATTACGAATCGTTTGAACGCGGAACCTTGCTTACACAAAGTTTGAGTTTTTCGTCACCGATAATCTCCTGTTTATTGGTAACTCACTCTGGTACATCGATCCAGACCCACACCTCTGGGAATTTTGTCCGTAATACGACCGGTGCCGATGCTGGCGGTTCCACCGTTGGGAACCCGGAAGGAGCGAGTGTGGATGGGAATACAGCAAGTTTGCGAGACTTGCCAAATTTGGAGAAAAACACTGAATAATGTAAAAGTGAAGGTTATTCGGAAAAAAAAATTCGGACGTGCAGGAGATGGCATCAAAGCTATAGAGCCTTGCCCAAACCAGCCACCTTTCCCAACGAGGTAAGCACGTTAAGAAGCAAAGGTAACCATCGCTTTGCCCAAATAGGGATTTTCATGGAAGCAGATGAGAATGAGACTTCATGACAGTTCAGTTACCAGTTTAAGGTTGTCTAGTAAAGCACGGGGTCGAATTGAAGGCGTATGGCCTCACAAAGAAGAGTTTGACGAAGGGTTAGTAGAGTATAGTTAGATTCCGAAGTTCGTCGCTTTGGAAACCAGTCTGTAGCATTTGGCTAAGACAGCAGGGCATGACCGGAATACATCGTCGCAGTCCTGTTCATATACAAATATAGTCAGAATTCGTCAGAGAAGAAGTCCTGATTTCCCGGATTTTTGTTGTAGCGCTTTGGGAAAATTGTTCAAATAAAAAAATTACTTTTTCTGATCGAAAGCAGCTTCTAGTCCATAAATATGTTGTTCCTGCTGGAGTAAGTATTCATACTACATAAGATAAAAGCCTTACTTGCTGAAATGGTCAAGCCATAACCATGTTTCGGG